AGCGATGGCCTCCAACCGAACAGCGATGGCCTCCACCCTAATAGCAATGGCCGCCAACCTAATAGAGATGGCCTCCCCTAATAGCAATGGCCTCCAACCGAATGGCAATGGCCTCCACCAGTAGTGATGGCCTCCAACCTAATAGCGATGGCCTTCACACTAGTAGCGATGGCCTCCAACCCCCTAATAGCGATGGCCTCCACACTAGCAACGATGGCCTCCAACCGAATTTCGATGGCGTCCACTATAGCGATGGCCTCCAACCGAATAGCGATGGCCTCCAACCGAAAAGCGATGGCCTCCAACCGAAAAGCGATGGCCTCCACCCTAGTAGCGATGGCCTTCAACCGAATAGCGATGGCCTCCACCCTAGTGCTGGCCTCCAACCGAATAGCGATGGCCTCCACCCTAGTAGCGATGGCCTCCAACGGAACAGCGATGGCCTCCGCCCTAGTAGAGATAGCCTCCAACCTAGTAGCGATGGCCTCCACACTAGTATCCTCCTACCTAGTAGCGATGGCCTCCAACTTAAAGTGATGGCCTCCACCCTAGTAGCGATGGCCTCCAATGATGGCCTCCGCCCTAGGAGAGATAGCCTCCAACCTAGTAGCGATGGCCTCCACACTAGTATCCTCCTACCTAGTAGCGTTGGCCTCCAACTTAAAGTGATGGCCTCCACACTAGTAACGATGGCCTCCAACCGATTAGCGATGTCCTCCTACCTAGTAGCGTTGGCTCCACCCTGGTAGCGATGGCCTCCAACCTAATAGCGATGGCCTCCACACTAGTAACGATGGCCTCAAAACAGGTGCATTCGCCAAAAAAGAAACCAAAGACGAACTGGGTGCCACACTTGCATGATCTTGACCTGCACTTGGACTCATTGCAACCGAATAGCGATGTCCTCCTACCTAGTAGCGTTGGCCTCCAACTTAAAAGCGATCCTAATAGCGATGGCCTCCACATGGCCTCCAACAGAATAGCGATGTCCTCCTACCTAGTAGCGTTGGCCTCCAACTTAAAAGCGATGGCCTCCAACCTAGTGGCGATGGCCTCCAAAGGCCTCCTCCAAGCTAATAGCGATGGCCTCCACACTATAGTAACGATGGCCTCCAACCGAACTGCGATGTCCTCCTACCTGGTAGCGTTGGCCTCCAACTTAAAAGCGATGGCCTCCACCCTAGTATCGATGGCCTCCAACCTAATAGCGATGGCCTCCACACTAGTAACGATGGCTTCCAACCGAATAGCGATGTCCTCCTACCTAGTAGCGTTGGCCTCCAA